TGGCGACTGATTCATGCAATCGATCTATGAATATGGCTATGAGTTATGATTTTCAACAGATATGAATGCTTGAGCTTACGGCGGAATTTCTTCTGTTACTTAGGTGCAGAGTTGAGAGTAGTGGTTTGAGGTCGACGGTCTGACACTTTGCGACTTTAGATGGTCCTTGTACTTTGCGTCATTGTAGTTGCGAAATGTCGAGTAATAGGTAGATGTAGAATTGTTTGTGGTTAGAACTAATATGCGACTAATATAGGTACCGATCGTTGTGCTTTTGTAGAATAAATACTAGAAAAATCATATCTTTTGGGAAAGATCGAAGGGGATACGGAGCTAGAAAAAAAACTTACGTGGAATGAAGCTGATGAGATGTCGAACAGGGAGATATTGCAGCGATATTTTACCAGATTCACACTCACTGACACATTCGTTGAATCTAACCGGCCCGAAGAGACCGCACACACCAGTACTGCACCGCGAGTGATGGCGCGCCCATCGCGGCGCGGCCTTGACAACTGTCGACTGTCGACGCGGCGCCGGCCGGCAGCCGTGGTAATCGTCGTTCGCGACGCGGGACCGTGCGCCGCTAGATGGCACATGAGAGCAGCGTCGGGAGTGGAGCAGCGGCCACAGTAGGGCAGTGGGCTAACCATAATTGGGGCGCGTGCGGTAGGTGAAGATCATTGTGTAGGAGCATGGTTAGTTGTGGAAAGTTGCAACGGGATAAGAACGTAAACAGTTAATGCATAATTTTAAATATGACATGCTATTTGATATTTAGGACTGCACTTCGTTTGATGTGCATTGTTTACTGCTAATAGGATGATTTAAATTATATTTTCTATGAAAAGCTAGGGACCCCTATGACAATATTCTGGCACTCTATAAAGATAATTTGTATAGATAACTAGTAGCCCATCAGAAGCTATCGAACGAGTTTCAAGGAGTCATTTCCGTTTGAGCATTCAGCAATTCACTATGATACGGTGGAACACAACCAGACGACAGATCGGTGCGTACTAATTGGTTCTAGATCATCTGATGAAATCAAGAGCGGTTCAAGGTCTGCTAGGATTGTATACGAGAACTGATGATTAGGTTCACGCGTGCAGCAGCAATTAGGACTTGAGATTACGATTAGATGCGTTTCTGTTATTCGCGTTCTTGAGAGTTAGCGCCAATAATTACTCCACCAATATTGGCACAGGGCATTGTGAGGCACAGACGGCTTGTTTGCCCGCCTCCTATGGCGTAACGTTTACCAGCATGACTGTATGAGACACAGATGCACTTCTCTAAACCCAAGTCCAGACCGGAATAATAAGAGGGACACACCGTCACGTACGCAGGGCATATGCACGTTTTCCGCCAGTGGTACCGGCCACTGTTAGTTTTCCCGCTTAGGTAACACTGGGTGAGAAGGCAGTGAGAGGTTTCTACGGCAGGGGGAAGGGGAAGATTGGCACAGTGTGCAGTGGAGAGTAAGTTATGCCAAAGGCAAGAAGCCGAGGGTCAGGGGTGAGTCACCCAAAAGTGCGGATAAGGCGAGCCGTAGTGTCCCGAATAAGTCCTCATACTTATTTTGTAAAGGTACCTTAATCGGTACTGGACAGCCTCAGGGGAGGGAAGAATGTACTCCAGGACACGTAAGGCCTTGAAGAGTAAATCCCATGGTTTAAGGAGAGTTCCTGAGGAGAGTTCCAGGATATGAACGGTGGTCCCTGGGTCGTGAACGGGAATGTTACACGCGGACCGGAAGAGGGCATAGGTAATCTCTCCCGGATAGAGAGATAAGTCGGATATAAATCGTGTATGTGTGTACTATAAGTCTATCGGACGTGTAGTGAATCCCATAAATTAGTAGGGTGGATATTGGTGCAATTATTCTGGACGGCCCTGCGATAAGTATCTTTGTCGCCGGTTAGCGGAGCATGCACTGGATTTCGGAAAGAGACATTTATCTCGCCGGGGAGACCATGGTTTGTAAGACGCCTAACACTATCGGAGGGAATTTCGGGGGCTACCAATTAAATTTGGGTGAATACATGAAATGTGAACGTAATGCGAGCAAGGGTGTGAGAATGATGACGCATGAATCTTAGAGTAAGGCCGATAGGAATTTGGTAGAGTTCGGTTACGGCAGTCGAACAAATGATTCTTGAGGGCAACTTAAAACTAGCAACGCTAATACGAACTAAGTGGGCAATTTTCGTAATGGGGAGGCCAGTGATATAGGGATGGGTGACTGGACGAATGATCACATTCAATTAATCAATGTAATTACCACCCATAAGTTTGGCAGTGGTCATCGGGACTTCGAATGCCCTGTCCTTCACCTGCCCATCTGTGCCGCAAACCCAGCTGATCGGATCCCGTTATCCCTAATCCGAGCAGCGAAGAAGCATCTCGTGCATCATGGTCTATACAATGAACAGAATCATCAAGCCTCTAAATTAAAAAGCATCTTCCATCAGATGTATTTGTATGCAAGGTGGATTTGGATCTACATCTCTCCCAGGTGGATCTCCATCTCAAGATCCCTATCTGGATCCATACCTCTCTCTGAGGTGTATCTACATCTATCTCAGGATCTCATCACTGTCTGGATCTCTCTCTGAAGATCCCTCTCGGGATCTCTTCAACGACTCTCAAGTTCCCCATCACCAGCTCTACTATCGAGTCTTTACAGCAGCAAATACTTCTCTCTTCGGCTACAACAGCCAAATGACAGTGGACCGCGGTGATTGATGAACCTCAAGATGCAGTTCTCTTTCTTTTTCTTTCTTTACCTTGCTACATAGGCAAGGGTAACTTACTTTTCGTGATGTTTTTTTGACTGCATTTTTGGTAAAAGCTTCTCAGATCATGATTTCATGTAATATGGACACATAAACACTCGGTGCACACATCAGTATACACACAGACACACACAGACATACAAACACATATAATTGACCTTGACCTAACTTGACCTGAAATGACCTTAGCAGCAAAAATCTGGTCGGGTAGTGTGACAAAGAGGTTCTAGCTGGCTTGGCACCAGAAAACGGCATCGTCATCGGTATATGCTAAGCAGCGCACTTGATATCCAACGGTGACCCAAAACAGCAACATTTTTTAGTTTGACGGACCCGACCTGGAAGGTCAATGACTGATCCGAGAAGGTAAAACTGGGTATCATTGGATTCGTCTCTTCCCAAATAATCTTTTTGGTCTTTACCGCGAAGCTCTATCTCCAACAGGAACGAAATGGCGCGGGGGTTGGCACCCCCCCCCATGTGCATTCTAGGATGGGAAAATGGCATGTGAGGGCGAGGGTTAAATGACGGCCCATGGGGTCATTCTAGGTCAATCCAGGTCATGCCCAGCTGAAGTGTCCCCGTGCTGGTCATGAACACGAAACAAATAAGTACCTACACACTATAATACTTTCCCGCACCACAAACCTATCACAATATGCAAGATTTAATGAAAAATCGCTCCAAGATTATACTAAATGCTGCAGTCATCACTTCATGATCTGCGACGACATCTCGCTACGACACAAAGTTTCACCTCGCTACGACACAAGGGTCAGCGTCTATCACAGAGAGTTCATGTGCAGGAAGGCCGAAGGGGGTGGCGTTATATCATCTCTCGCCAGTGGCGACTTTTCGTAAAGTAAAAAAAAAACTGACGAAAGTTTGTAGCTCTCCTCCTGACACATCAAGAAAAACAAACAACCTTTTTCATATCTCGCGTTTTACAGCGGTAACGCATGGAGTGGAGAAGTGTAGTGATTTTATGTTAAGTATGGAGTGGCGCGCGTCGTGGCGCCAAAGAATTATCGGTTTTAATGAAATAAGAATGCCTACCACAACCACACAGTGAGACGAGGACCGTAGTACAATGTTGTAAATGAATCTGTTTCGTAAACTGTCAAGATCAAGATCAAGACCTCAGCTGGCAACATGAGCGTGGAGTTTCTGCATAATGTTTATGCGAAATGGTATCGACCGTCATTTCTTAAACAAAAGTAAATGTACCAAATCTGTCACCACTGCCAGCACTGCTCGTCAAGGATGACAACAGGCCAAAGTAAACAAAAAACTGCTGATGTTGACTTTGTTGCATGGAAACCGAAACAACAAGCAGAGAAGTGTCTTCAATCTAGTATCGCTTGAAACCGTCAGACATGTGCAACCGAGCTGGAATAATTATGTCCAAGGCCGACTGAGTTACGCTGCTCCGGGCATGAACCTTTGCTGCCACCTAGCAACTGAGCCTGAAACTATAGTTTGCGCTCCGCCGCGGGGATAGCGCGCGGCGCTGGTGGCACCTGCAGTCCCCAGTTCTGAGCCGGGACAACCGCAGGAACGGCTCCGCCGAACAATGGAGAGCACAATAAATATTATCCAAAGGAAAGCCGAACAGAGTAGCATGTACGCAGCACGCCAGTGTCCCAAAATTTGCCAGTTTGGGTGGGAAGTGACATCCAAATCAAAATAATTTTCCACTCTCACCTACAATTTTCAGTGCAATTTTTCGCTCACTATTTTACCAATAAAGAGCATCTGCGTGTACCTTTTTTTCTCCCTCCATATTCGATTCGCCTATCTTATAAATTAGCTCACACATCCTCAGAAATTCACAAATAAATTGTTGATCCCTGTTTCCGCTCCCTTTCTGTGCCATTCTGACGGAGAAGTGTCCACTTTCAGCCCTTTTTGTAGTGACGAATATTCCCCTCAGACACCCAAGCCAAAATATAATTTTGGGACACTGCAGCACGCGAGTGTAATAAGCCCGTTAAATAAGCCCACTTGCCGGCGCAGCTCAGTGATTACCATCGCCAAGGACGGATACACGACAAGTAGGCGAAAATACATGAGAAGATACTATCGACAATATTTTCTCAACGACGGAGCAGAGCGTTTCAATAATAATCCCGCACTTTACAGAGTGAGCAGGCAATCACCCCCCCCCCCCCATCCCACAGCCTCAGCAGGGCGCGACCCACCTTGTTTGGAGCTGGATGGTGCGCCGCCGGCCGGCGACCCTCCTCCTCCTCCTGACGCTGCTCGTAGTGCACAAAATCGTCGAAGATGGAGGTGCGGTGGTTGAACGCGTGGATGATTTTGAGCACCTGGCGGCCCTTGTCGGCCGGCACCTCCTGCGTGTCACGAGAGTTTGTCACCGGCTTATTCTCGTTGTTCTCCAGCCGGATGTGACGCAGCTGAGAGTTCGGCACGTCCTTCACGTAAATCCACTTTACTTTGAACTGACCCTTCCACTTGTCCTGCGCCCAGACCGAGGACGACGAGCTATAGTCCACGGGCGAGAGCATCTGCGCCATGCCGCAAAAGTGGCCGCTGCCGTTCACCGAGTACAGCAGGTACACCGGGCCCTTGCCGTCGCGCTCGCGGAACGCCGAGTCCAGCCGTTTGTTGCCGTGCTCAGTGCTGGCCCAGATCTCGTACTTGATGGAGCGGTGGATGTCGTCCTCCGAGTACGACTTGATCACGAAGAAGCGCGCTCCCTTGGCGCTCAGGTCGAACTCCTTGGGGTTGTACTCGTTGCGGTCGCGCAGCTCGTCCAGTACCGGGTGCGTGGGCGGGGGCGGCGGCGGCGGCGGCTGCGCGGGCGGCGCCTGCGGGTAACCGAGAGGCGGCTGGCCGCGGCCGCGCGGCGCCAGCCAGCCGGGCCGCGCGCCCACCGCCGCCGGACCCACCGACTTCGGAGCGCCGTTCTTGCCGTCCCACACGCCGATGGTGTCTCTGGGCGCGGGGCCGGCCATCGGCATCACCACCTTGCCGCCGGCCAGCGGCGCCGCGCGCGCCGGCTGGCTGGCGATACTGGCCCACGACTTTTTCTGCGGTCCCCCGGCGGCCGGCGCCAGCTCACCGCACATGCGCGGGTCGTGCGCCGGCTGCTTGGGGTCCATGCTGAGCCGCTGCATGCCCTGTTCAACCTGTTTGACGGAACGCTCCTCACCGCCGTACGCGGCCGGGTCGCCACGATAGTAGTCCCCGTATTTGCGGCCCATGCCGCCGCCCCAGCCGGCCGAGTAGTCACCATTACCATGAAACGGTCCGTATCCGCCAAATCCCGGCTGGCCGAAGCCACCGAAGCCCTGTCCACCAAACACTCCGTCCATTCCGTAGCTGTCGGGCTGCACGGGCGGCTGGCTGTAGCCGCCCATGAAGGCCAGGTGGTCGCCGCCGCTGCTCCAGGCGCCGTCGCCGACGCCGAACGCCTGGTAGGGCGGGTAGCCGGCGGCGCCGCCGTAGTAGCTCGACAGGTAGGGGTCGGCCGAGGCAGCCAGTCCGGTCATGGCCGTGCTATAGTTGGGCTGGTGCTGAGAGCGCCAGCCGTCGAACGCCGCCTCCTCTGGCTCCGCTACGCTGGCCGCCTCCTTCGGCGCATTTCCTGCTCGCCAACCAGCCAAGGGGATGGGTGGGGTCAGTTCACGTCAGGTGTGAGACACACATTGCAGCCAGATTTTAATCATTATTGGACCAGCAAACTTACAAACATTCCTTTACTAGCACATGATGAACTAGAACTATGAAGAGAGTTGAAGAGAACCTGGTCACAAAATGAAACAGTTCTTTTAGAGTTGTTTTTACTTTTAAGGTTAAGGTTGGAAGGATGAATTACTTTGCTCTGAAGCTACAAACTGCTGGCCGCAGGGTGTAACGAAATTATCCGGACATCTATTTTTCGCCATATCTGTTCGCACATTTCCTTTTTCTGATGTTAGAAGCGGGAATATTGGATGAATACGTGCCTCTGGTATCGGTTCTCAGCTTAGCAGTGACCTGACCTTGCGAGGTGACTCTTTCTTCGAGTAAGAGTCGAGTCACCGGAGGGCTCATTTGATAGTTTTCGTACAAGGTAGAGACGAGAGAAAGGAGTAGGTACAGTTCTCCTTTCATAGTAAAACTGCACATCGGTGGCATGGCGGCATCCATGGGGGCATGAGCCAGAAGCTGGTCTGCCAGTAGCTGGACACTAACAGCAGCAGTTAGCTGCAGCCAGTTGTACATCTGCCTGAGGCATGCTAAGCTGGGACATGGGTGGCAGACTCAGCCCGGCCGCGACCCCAAAAGCCGCGCTTTGCCAAGTGGTGAGGAGAGTTGTCAAAATAGCGACAAGGAAACGATACCAGTCAATCTGCAAACTGACTCAAACTTTTACCAAGGCAGATAATACGAGGTCCCACGATATAATTCACCGCTACCCGCCCTTTAGCTTGGTTTTACTGCCCTTCAAACTGAAAAAAGAAAACGAAACTGACTGGAAAGCAACCAGTCCACCACCTTTGGCCTCATGCCAGTGTGTCCACTGGTCGAAGGAAGACATGAGTAAGATGGTCTGGTCGGATGAGTAGCCGTTCGATCTGTATTTTCCTTAGAACCGTCAAATCGGCCATGTGTGGGCTGCCAGTAGCTCGAACATGCCGGCCCTCGCCGGCGTCAAACATCCGGCCAAGATCCAGATCTGGAGCATGTTCAGCTGCTGTGCGATGTTCCAGCTGTACATGGTGTCACAGAAAACCACCATCAGTGACGAGTATTAACGGAGCAACATCCTGGCTAAGAAATGGTTTGAGGCGCTCAACCAGACAGCACAGGAGGGCTCGGTTTCCTAACGCCCACTGATGCCTGATTCAAGCCACGCTGTCTTTATACGGGCTGGTGCGCCACCTTGAAGTCCCTCTCCCTAGAATAATGAGAACTGACGCTGAGAGGACCTCTTACCCTTCTGGGCTAACGGGCTTTGGCTTGAAAATAATCCCCATCCCAATTTCATCGAGGTCTTATAAGCTACTGTCCAGCAGGAGGTGATTGAGGGGGACACCCGTCACCAGCGAAGCCCAGCTGTGGGCGCAGGTCAAGCCGGTGTCGCTCCACACCAGTGCCAGTGTGTTGGAGAACCCAGTGGCTGGAATGCTACAGTGCAGTTGTAACTGTGATCTTATGACAGATGGTTATATCATCATTTAAAAGAAGAAGAAAAAAACTTCAGATCGTCTTGCTTGTTAATTGAAGCATAACGAAAGATGCCCGGATGATTTTGTTACACCCTGCAGGCAAATAAAAACAAAACACTCTTACCTGGTGGTTGCTGAGTTTTTCTCTGTGAACACAGAAAGCACATTGGTCTCAGTCACTGTGAAATTCCCTGGGCAAACCTAAATATAATTCACACTGAAGTTGTACTACACTCTGATCACAAATAGGCAGCATGTACACATATAAATCGAGGAAAATCCCAATCAAAGTGTTTTCAGGATAGACAAAGATAGACAAATGATCACTAATAAACCTTATTACACAATATCATTCAAGTTAGTGAACTTATCACTGAACATTAAGATGTCTTTCAAAGCAAATTTACCACAAAATGAGTTCAATGAGCCATCAGCTGTGAAGCAAAAATCATTATTCAGCTGCACTTGGATCTTACCTCGCGTTCGATGTCCTCGGACGACGAAGATTCTACGTCGTCCGGCCAATCCCGCTCAAGGTCAGCGGGGGCTCGGCTGCAGTGATGGAACGTAATTGGCCAGACGACGTAGAATCTTCGTCGTCCAAGAGACATCGAACGCGGGGTTGATCAGGAGTGTCTGTTAACCCGCGCCCCACTGGGGGGGGGGGCAGAATCTGCCCCCCTCCCGTTTTTCGCCAATAACGTCTAAACGCGTTACGCCAGCGACGTCAAACTTTCAGTACCTTATCATACATCAATCTGACACGTTCCCTGAAAATTTGAGCGATATCCGTCGGAAAATGTTTTCAGAAATTGACGTTTTAGTGACGTCATGTTCGCCATTTTCGCCTCAAAAACGGCAAAATTTCAAACGCCGCTAACATCTTCATTTTTAAAGGAATCAAGACGTAACAAAAAAGGTTATACGTGATTTTACTTTGTCTACCAAATGGCTATCTTGATTTTTTGAAAATCTTGGATTTTGGCCCAAATTTTTTTCTTCAAAAAAACTGACTTTTTTGGGAAAATAATAATAAAATCCGAAATTTTGAGTGTATCGAAAAAAAACGGAATATATGTCAGAGAAGTGGTCTATGTGCACCTACATACCAATTTTTAGAAGAATCGGTTCAAAAATGTGGGAGTTATTCAACATTTTATGACGTCATGACACACAAAAATTTCGAAAAATGAGATTTTTGGAAGTTCTAGACCTCGTGCGGAAACAAAAATAGCACCATTCGATTCGCCGTGAAAAACTGCATCAGATAGACACCTTTTTAGGCCTTAACAACCAACTTCAAAATTTGACCTCACTTGACCTGACCTCGACCTGAAATTCATCCAGAGGTGGTCCATATCACTTATTGAGTGTGCCTATTAAATTCTGTGAGTAAAATAACCCATAAAACATGTGTCGCACATGCCCTTTTCTATATTTTGTTTTTGGTGACCTGACCTGACCTTGACCTTGACCTTTGAATGACATTGTATGCAACGAATATTGTCTTGGTAGTCTAAGAACACGTTTTGGGCAATCAGTCTCAGTCCATTCTTCGGCAACTACGGTGCAAGGCCGATACTGTAGAAACTTGCATTTTGTACCCTTGACCTGACCTTGACATGACCTCTGACCTACTTAAGCAAAAAAAATTGGGCTCTCAAGATCCGCCTTGTTGAGAGCTTTCGATTGCCGTTCTCCCCGTCTTTCTACGACCATCGGTTCGGAGGTTAGCCATACGCGCCCCCCCCCCCCCCCCAGCAGGGCGCGTATGGCTGAATAGCCCAGCGGGGCGCGGGGTAAAGGGACCCTCCTACCTCCTTAAAAAAAGTTAATGAATTGGAATACAAGTGATGTACCATGGTTCAGAATTCAGAAATAGCAAAAATGATATCAATAAAATTGCACTGAAAAAAATGATCCACTGGTTACTGAGATATTTGACTTTTACTTTTGTTTGTTTTTTTGGGGCCTCCACTGTAACTTATGAGGTCAGCTGCAAGCAATAATTTGGTATCTTAAAAGTGAGACAGATGTTGAGCGCAATTGACAGTATGTACCATCAAAGCAAAAATTGTCTCGCCAAGGTTTTAGCATGATATTTAAAAATTCATAGATCTACTCTGACATCACAAAGTCACAAAGGGGGTATCTAAATGCATTACCCGATAGCCCCTTAGGATTTGAACACTGCAGATTTTGAAATTAACCAACACCCCACTGGGGTCTGCGTATAACACGCCCTACTGGGGGGGGGGGGGGGGTCTTCATAGCTCCCCCCCCTCCTAACTCCCGAAACTACTGAGCCGATCATCAAAATTCAAACGGCGTCTGATAGCCCCGGAAAAACTGTCGAACGAAACCTTATTTCATTGCCCTCGAGGTCACCGATGACGTCACAGCTCAGGTCAAAATAAAAATCATCAATGTTTGGCTTGTTCACATTTTGGGCTCTGGCCCCCGTCCTATAAGTCGGATCAGGCTCATTTTTGGTTTACACACTCGTGAACAGATGCTTTAGATGCCCTGAGGGTACCAAACTTGTACTTTGATTTCCAGGTCAGGGTCAAGTCATCACAGGTCACGGAAATCTTGTACCGTGCATCGGTCACGTGAAAGATGCTTTATGGTCCATTTATGCCAGAGTTCGAATTCGATGTCGTTTAAGTCATTTGAGGTCATTTTGAGCTGAATTGAGTTAAAGGGACCCTCCCACCTTCAAAAAAGTTAATGAATTGGCATGAAAGTGATGTCCCTTGGTTCAGAAAGAGCGAAAACGAATATCTACCAAATTTCACCGAAAAATATTCACTGGTTTTCAAGATATTAGGCTTTTACTTTTGTTTACTTTTTGGGATCTCCCTGTTACTAGCGACTTTATTTGGAAGCAATAATTTGGCAGCCTTAAAGTGCGGCAGACGTTGCGCGCAAAGCAGCGTATACCACCACGTGTTAACGATGGTTTTAGTCTAAGATTTAAAAATCGTTAGATCTCCGCTGACGTCACAAATTCTAAGGGGGCATACCAATGCATTAGCCCCTTAGAATCCGAAAACTGCAAGTTTGAAATTCCATATCTTCGAATTAAAGCATTTCTCGATGTTGTGAGTGCCCAAACCGGTATTTGCAGGCCATGGCCACCAATTTGGCTATCTCAACTCAAAACTAATGTTAAGATGGGAGGGTCCCTTTAAGGTCAGGCCACTTTCAGGTAAAAAGGTCAAATTTTAGTTTAAATTTTGCAACAAAAAAGGTGTATATCGGATGCAGTTTGAGCTCAGGAACACGATGGTGCTGTTTATATTGGTGTACGATGTCGAATACGTACTGAAAAAATGATTTGAAAAATTTATAATTGTGAATTTTTTGCTCTAATGCATATAACTTGGCCATTTTTGAAGATATCTGGATAAAACTTGCCAGAATAAGTCATAAGCATGCATAGGCGTCGCCAGAGATTTTGGTTGAGGGGGGGGGGACAAAATCAACTTTTGTGTTAAATCTTGCCTTTCCTCAGTCGTTACTCACTTGTTTTACATACATATCATTCGACGCGCAATGGTGCGAGGAATCCGATGATGACAGTCTTCCTTCTAGCTATGACATGTATTTTTTTTTTTACAAAAAAAAAATCGAAATTTTGAAATTTATGGACAAAAACGACTGGTAGAATTACAGTGGCTGCAATTGCCGACACACTGCAGAGGGCCCCTGTGCAGACGCTCGTCGCTCTTGATCATCACCATAAAAAAATGAAAAACGCTCCATTTAATAGGATCACCCTGCTAAAACCTCCATTCACGCATGCATGCAGAGGTTTTACGTGAAATTCATAGGGCTTATCCCAGCCGCCGATTGTAGCAAAGTTGGGCATTCGGCGAGAGTGAATGTTGGAAGTGTGAATCGGAAGTAATCCATCTTTGCTCCAGTGAGAGGAAGTGTTTTGTTCACTCGAGTGTGAACAAAAAGTTTCTCAATTTTCGTGTGAAGGGAAGCGCTGCAAACGCGATCAAAAAATGTTTAACGGAACCAAAAGCTACGCACGGCATAGCGACAAGGGATCCCTTAGAGATATAATTGGAACTTCCAGGCCATTTCAGGCCACTCAGGGTCAGTGTGGACTCTCAGAAGCCTGCTTAGGATCCCGGAGATCGGCGTGGATCACCCCAAATATTTACGTGTATGTGGTGTTTTAGGGCTTACCGAGCCCAAGGTGGGGCCCTCAGAAGCCGGTGTGGGCGGCGGGCGCTAAGAGACTAGGCCTAGGATGAGCCTGAAGCCCTCACATAACAGTGTGAGCCCTCGGGGTCTGTATCGAATCCTTAACCCTATTCCGGCGGGCTCTGAAAGGTTCGATTCTGGGCGGGGGGGCCTTTTCGGCCCCCCTTAAGATCTCAAAAACTACACATCGCAGAGACAAACGGCAAACGGCGTTTGGTAGGTCGTTTAAAGATCTACAACTTTTACATAACACATTTTCAGGTCAGGTCAATATTGAGGTCACCAGAGGACTCATCAACGATAAATGTTTTGGAATTAGTTACCTATATAACTTTTAAACTAAGAAACATAGAGACTTAAAATTAATACATTTTTGGTTGCTCTCGTCGAGGCGATGCGAAATAAGTATGCGATGACCTTCGCAGGTCAATTTGAAATTTGACCGGAGGTCAAGGTCAGGTCATTCATCAATGAGGTTGTGGGGTATGGTCATGCTGCATACCAAACGACGCGCCTTCACCAGGCGAGCAGTGTGGTACCACTTAAAAGTCTTTAGCACCATCATGTCGTGATTTATTGACAGAAAAACGATTTATGATGTCACATGACCTCAGATGACCTTTTCCGGTGCCCCTGTCAATTAATGGCACCAGGATCATCACCGATGAGTTAATCTTCCATAATACTGAAAGAATTGGATGGTTTTGACTCGTTTACACGAAGCAGGAGGCGTTTCAATATTTTCCCATAGGCTTGCAATGTAAAGATCACGAGTCTGGCCTGACTCAGGTCA